CGGGGAGTGAAGGGCCTTGAAGCAGCTGCAGATGGAGGGTACAGAGCCCTCCTCTGCTTCAGCAGGTCAGGGGAGGAGCTTGCCCTACCCAGACTTTCACCCCAAACCACCTGACTCTCCCTGCCTCGCTCCCTTCAAAGCCAAGTACTGGAGAGGTTGTAGAGTACGGGTGTGTATCTCCGCCAGCCTCCAGACGTCCTATTTTCCTCCAAGGTGGCCACTAGAAACAGAGCCTCACTGGCAAAACCACAGAAACCTCTGCTTCCACCAGACCCTTCAACTCCTGAAGACCAACCCTTCAAGATGGAGGATAAACCATGAGCTGGGGGTGTTCATAAGCACCACTTAGAATTCCCTGAATTCAGAGATACCCAGATTTCTCAACTATCCATGAAACACACACACACACAAGATGCACATGTTAAGGTGCTCATACATGTTAACAAGCATCACCTAGAGTGATGATCCCTGGGGCCAGAGGGGGGAAAAGGCACAGAGGGAGAATGTTAAACTTCAGCCTCACCCAGCATTTTGTTATTCTGACACCAGATGAATGTTGGGAAAAGCATCACAATTCCAAAACCACCAACACTCAGAAAAATATGCACCCAGCGGGGGGAAAAAAAACAGTAACAAATAATGTGATGCTTCTTACGACGGAAATCTGTATTAAATAGTTCTGTTTGCAAAAAATTAGCTGGGCATGGTGACGCATGCCTGTAATCCCAGCTACTTGGGAGGTTGAGGCAGGAGAACTGCCTGAACCCAGGAGGCAGAGGTTGTGGTGAGCCGAGATCGCGCCACTGCACTCCAGCCCGGGTAACAAGAGTAAAATTCTGTCTCAAAAAAAAAAAAAAAAAAAGTTCTGTTTGTACTTAATCCTCACTACTGCTTCAGAAAAACACTGCTGGGGGCTGACATAATGGATAAGGAAACTGAGGTACAGAGAGACCACAACTTGCCCAAGGCCAAACAGCTAGAAAATGGTGAAGCCGGAATTTCAACTCTGTAAAGCCATCAAGTTCAGCATGAGGCCATGCTCCTGAATTCGGATCAGGCAGGACATTCTGGCTAGAACCACTAATGACAATGCAATTGTCGGCTTGAAGGCCCAAAACCCCAAAATCAAAGACAGAAACGGGGGGGAACAATCAGCAGGACAAGCCAGCAGCGGAGTAAGCACACAGGCATGGCAGCGGGCACAGCGCTGGCTCCACACTTGAAAGATGGACAGGCTGTGAGCCCCAGGAGCCCTTCCTGCTGCTAAGGCTCTGAAACAGGCAGCAGGCAGAAAGGAACACACGCACAGAAAGCAGTGACGCCTGGCTGGGTGCCTGGGACATAGACAAGGAAATTCCCTGTAGACACAGCGAGCAGAGGAAGGCGCTGAAGCAGAAGCGGGCAGGTACAGAAGCTGGCCCGTCCTCCAAAGAGACAAAGACCCACAGCCAGAATGATACGTGTGCGCGGGCAGAGCTTCCCCTACGGCAAGAACCCTCTCCCACACACTGATGCTGGACAGGTAAAAACAGAAAGGGAGTTTCGTTTGCTGAAAACATTGTATTGTGGTCATCTTATGGGAGCAGCTCCGCCAACCCAGGAACCACGCCAGGTCCAGGCACTGGCCTCCCAGCATCAGAGGAGAAACCACAGGAGAACCAGTACGGTACCATCTAAGGGCCTCAAAGAACGGACCAATCAGCTCGACTTGGTGGTCAGCATAGAGGAACGTGGCTTTGCAGCCAGCCAGAGCTCAAAATCAGTACCTGTTTTTCTACTTACCAACAACATAAAACCATGCAAAAGCAACTGAAGCCTTTAAGATTTGGTTTTTTCTTCTTTAAACGAGGGGGGGGGTCACATCTACTCCACCCAGGTGTTGTGTGGCAGAACAACATGTGGAAAGTGCCTTCGCCTGCCCTTGGCCAACTCTGAAACCATCTCTATGAGAGTGAAAGACTTTCCTCTCTAGGCATGCAATTTTACAATTGCAAGTATTGCTTACTGGACACCTGGTGTAAGCCAGGCCACATGCCACGCACTTTACATGTTACCTCATTTAATCTCAGCTCTGCCTCTGACCAGCTGAGACCTGAGAAAGCTTTTAACTTTGCTGAGCCCTCAGTTAGTTTCCTCCCCAGTAGAAGTGGAAATCATTTTGGCCTTACAGGGAGAGTTGCTACAAGGATCCACTTAGGGCCGGGCGTGGTGGCTCACGCTTGTAACCAAGCACTTTGGAGGCCAAGGCGGGCCTATCACCCGAGGTCTGGAGTTCAAGACCAGCCAGACCAACATGGTGAAACCCCGTCTTAAAGGATCCACTTAGTACAATCATGATAAGAGTTTAGCAAAGAGCCTGCACGCAGCGCTCAGTTTAACTGCATCTATCATTACTATAATCCTTATTGACATTCTCAAAGCCCAGTGACAAGAGAACAATAATCAGTCTATTAAAAAAAAAAAAACGAAGACGCAAACATATTAAAAGTAGCTATTAAACAACGCAGCAGGTATCTAAACCCCTAGTGCGTTCAGCTCCAACGCCTATGCTCTTGAGCAGTCATCACCGAAGACAGTCAGACACTCGGTAAACGTTACTTCTTCCCCAGGGCACTGTTTCCTAATCCAGCCCCTATCCAACTCTAGCCCGGGTTCAAAGGAAAATTCCTCAGCCCTCATTTCGTCCTCTGAACCAGCTGGGAACGCTAGGAACACGGGCAGCTGAAGCCTCACAAGGAAACAAACACGTCCCCAACCTTCCTCGGTCCTCTATCTGTTCACTCTAACTAAAACATCCAAAACTCCCCCACTTGGAATATTCTCGGAATCCCTAAAATGAGTCGGGCCCCAGGCTTTGTTCTAAGCCATCGCAATTCTCCATACCCTGATGGGAACCTGCCTCCCACCTGCCCCGTAAGTGGAGAGTTTAGCACCGTGGGCCAGACCCTCCGCTTCCTTCTCTGTATTGGGATCTGAGACCGAGTACAGGAGCCCTGACTCTGGCATTGCACATCATTTGGGGTTTATCTCCAACACTCCATATCGCGACTCTCGGGACCGCTAAAAGCCCCGCGTATGCAGCATGTCTGCGTGTCGACACTCAACGCAGACACTTCTCCTCTACGAGGGAAGAGGGGACATGCGGCCACCACGCTAATATGAGGCGCCCCACGACCAGCAGCTGGAGAGGTCACAGCAAACCAACAAAAAGGAAAAAGGGTACGAGATGGGCCCGTGGCCTCTAAGCGTCCCCGAAATGGTTCTGTCCTCATCCACGTGAAGAAGGGAAATGGGGCTCCCCCCCCCCCAGTTCTCACAACCGCCATTTTGGAAACAAAGGGGGCGTGGAGACGCGGCCGTAGGCCAGACCGGAAGCGGAAGTGCCAAGGCAGCGGGAGAAAAAGGAGGGATTACGGGGCCTAATATAATCTCCTTTTTAGAGGAAATAAAAAGATTTTAAAAAACAAAAATTCACGTCGAGGCATCCGGCGCGCCGGCGCCGCGTTCTCCGCGCCACCTCCGCCAAGACCACGTGGGGCGCGGGGACAGCCGCCGCACGCATGCGTCACGGGCCCGCGCCCCGCCGCCCCCTTCCCCTCACGGTGCGCGCGGCATAACGCCGGGAACGTCACGTGAACGAGGCGCGCGCCACGGAACCGGGGTGGGGGGGCGCCGCGCAGCCGTGAGAGGTGGGGGAAAGAGGGAGAAAATGGCGGGGGACAAACAGCGACGCGAAAAGCCGCCCACACCTCCGCCCCGCGACCCCGGCGCCCTCACCTTGTTTATTCTCGTTGAGCTGCCGCTCGAACTCGTCGAAGTCCGACATGCTGAGGCGGCCGCGTAGGGCCCGGTGAAGCTCTCGCCTTGCTTTGCCGCCCGCTCCGGCCGCTTCGGCTACTTCCGCCGCTAGCCTCGGCTACTTCCGGCCGCCGCCGGCGCTTCGCCACCTCCTACCTAATCAAGCCTCCGGCAGCCCGCCCCACCCCACCCGGGCTCCGCCCCCTTGCCCGCCCGCCCGCCTGCCCGCGAGTTTGCCCCTCCCCCCGAGCCTGGCTCCGAAACGCGTCGGCTATTTTCGGACACTGGACGAAGGAGAGGCAGGCGGCAGTTTCGGCTGCTTCCGAAAATACCCGAAGCTAGGTTTTCGCCGACTTCCCAGGTTTCCGTAACTTTTCGGAGATTAGCTCCTCAACCTTCAGAGGTTTCCGTGTGTCCTTGTGTTCTACTGCGCCCAGCCCCCTCTGAGAGTTTGGCTTCTTCCAACAATTCAATCCGTCTCAGTCTTTGGCTTCTTCCACGGACTTGCTCCGCTCCTCTCTGTCCAAGCAATCGGCCACTTTCGAGAATCCTAACGGTCCGGGTCTTCGGCTCTTTCCGGAGCTCGCCTTCGGGATTAATCCCCTCCTGGAATTAAGCTCGATTCCAAGTTTCGGCTCTTTCCGGATATGCCACTCGCTCACTCCTCCCGTCAGACAACTTCGGCTCCTTCCGCCACCGCTTCGTGAAGGCCTCACTCTCGGGGGACAGCTTCGGCTTTTTCCGTTGGTGCCTCGGCTCCTTCCGGCTTCAGGAATGGAAAAGGGAGTGAGGACAGAGGCGAGGTGGGTCAGGGAAAGAGATACCGAGGAGGGGGCGAGGTCAGGGTTCTCGGCACCTGGCTCTCCGAGTGGGGAAAGTGAAAGAAAAAAACAGCTGGCCTCGCGGAGGGCCTGCGAAGGTTGCGCGAGACAAAAGCAGCCAGAGGAGTAAAGGGTGCGCGCGACCGCTGCGGAGGTTGCCAGCGCGGCTTTTTGCGCCTGCGCAGGGTGGAAGCGGCGGGTGGGGGGGAAACAGGCTTCTGCGCCTGCGTGAGTCGTTGTGTGGCTTGCTCTCCCACTGCTCGGGTGGAGGGGGTTGAGGGGAATAGGTTCCAGAATCCCCATTGCGCGTGTGCGAGATTTTCCTTTCCTAGAGTGAAACTGCTTAATCCCCAACCGTTAAATCCAGCCGCCCTCTTGGTTGTCTTGGCAACCGCATCAACGCGCTCCGGCCCCTCCCTCCGCGCAGGCGACCAATGACCGACCATTAGTTCCTGGAGATGGATAATCTCGCATTACTGCCCCCTGGCGGCCCAACGGAAGTATCCTCCAGACTTCGCCGGGCCCCCAGGTGGCCTCCAGCGCTAGAGGTCATCGAGTCCCGCCGCGATGTGATCCGGGTAGCTCAGCGGATCGTATCCGTGCTGCGCGCGCGCGCGCGCGCGCGTGTGTGTGTGTGTGAGACGGAATTTCGCTGTCACCCAGGCTGGAGTGCAATGGCGCGATCTCGGCGCAACGCAACCTCCGCCCCCTGGGTTCTGTGTGTGTGTGTGTGTGCGTGTGTGGGGGGGTGTGTAAGACGGAATTTCGCTCTTGTCACCCAGGCTAGCGCGATCTTGGCGCAACGCAACCTCCGCCTCCCGGGTTCAAGCGATTCTCGTGCCTCCTGAGTAGCTGGGATTACAGACTCGCGCCACCACACCCGGCTAATTTTTGTATTTTTAGTAGAGACGGGGTTTTTCCATGTTGGTCAGGCTGGTCTTGAACTGCTGACCTCAGGTGATCCGCTCGCCTCGACCTCCCAAAGTGCTGGGATTACAGACGTGAGCCGCCATGTCCGGCTGTGTCCACGCTTCTTTTCCCGAGCTCTGCCTCCAAGTTTTCTGGGGCACAGCTGCTTCTCTCTCCATCTCTGCCTCCAGGGAGCTAATTACACCCTGTCCTCGCCGGCCTCCCGCCTGACCGCCCACCACACTGGAAGCCCCCGCAACCCTTTCACTGTCTTCAGGGCGACGGCCGTCCCCTCCCAGGCACGTCCCCCTCCTAGGAAGAGGCTGGGGCCCAGTTTATTCCAAATTTTCACGTCTTTTTTTTAATTTTAAATTCTCTGAATAATTCTCTGTCGCGCGGAGTTGGGAGGTCCGTCCGGGAATCGGTTGGGAAGCTCCTCCGCGGGGCAGCGGGACAGGGAGCAGAGCCGGGGTCTGTACAGTCCCCCACCCGAGACGGGGCGGCACCCGCCTGCCTGGTTCTGCAGGAGGAAGGGGCCCGGCAAGGGCAGGGCTGGGCAGCCCCAGCAGAAAGAGGTGCCGGCGGCCTTCGGGAGGGGGACGCGGCCGGCCCGGGGCCGTTGCGCTTGGGGACCCGGACAAGGGAGCCTTCAACCCAGGGAGCGAGGAGGAGGGGCAGGGGCGCGGCGGGGACAGGGGCAGGTCATCCACCGGGGGCTTGGGGAGGGAGGCCCGGGCCGGGCGCCGAGACGCGGCGCGATCACCGCTTGAAGCGGTAGGTGATGGGCAGCAGCAGCTTGCTCTTCTTGAGCGCCTGCACCTTCTTGAGCGTCTCGTCGTCCAGGGCCAGGAAGCAGCGGCGGGAGTACTCGAGCAGGCGCTCCTTGGAGGGGTCGAACTCGCCCACCTCCGCCAGCTTCTCAGGGGCCACGATGAGCAGCTCGGCGATGGGTGTGGTCAGCGCCACGGTGTTCCTGTCCACGCGATGGTGCTCGAAGGCCCGCGACATGCTCTTGAGTTTCTGGAAGGTGCCCAGGATCTTCTTGTACCGGCAGAGGACCCCATCAGCGTCCTTCACTGCGGGGGGGAGGTGGGGACACGGAAGTGAGGGGCAGGGGGCGGACACGGGAAGGGAAACGGCCATGGGAAGGATCCCGGCGGGTAGAGGCACGGGCCGTGCAGAACAGGAGGCCGAGGGGAAAAGTGCATCCAGAATTTGGACCAGTGGGAAGTGGGAAGAGGCCCAGGGAGGGGGGTGAGGAGAGAAAATGAGCCAAGAGACTGAGTTAAACCGACAGGGTCCCAGGCCCGGGCGGTGCCCTCACCCTCTCCTCCCTGCCTCAGGTGAATTCACTTACTCAAGCCTCACGCTCCCCGTGAGACAGGTCCTCCAGCAGGCCTCTTTCTCACTGATGAAGGTTAAGGAGGTGCCCAAGGCGCTCAAGGATGGACCCAAACTTAAAGATACTAAACCCAGGGCAGGCCCGGTAGTGTGGCTCACGCATGTAATCCCAGCACTTTGGGAAGCCGAGGCAGGCGGATCACTTGAGGTCAGGAGTTCAAGACCAGCCTGGCAAACACGGTCAAACCCCGTCTCTACTAAAAATACAAAAATTCGCCGGGCACAGTGGCGCACATCTGTAGTCCCAGGTACTTGGGAGGCTGAAGCAGGAGAATCGCTTGAACCTGGGAGGCGGAGGTTGCAGTGAGCCAAGATCACACCACTGCACTCCAGCTTGGGCAACAAAGCCAGACTCCCTCTCAAAAAAAAAGTAAACTGAGGACCACACGTGGAGGAGGGAGAGAAAGAACCTGGTGGGTCTTTCTCCAGCAAGGTGTAGGGGCTTGGGGAGAAAGGAGGGCCTCTGGGAAGGTCACAGCAATTCAGCAGCCCAAGACCTCAGCGCCTACCCCATGCCCCCCACTCACCCCGCTGCCTCTCCCGGGCCTTGGGCTTCCCAAAGCGCCTCCGACGGGCACCTCCCTTCTGCTTCTGCCGCCTCTTCTCACTGGCACTGCCTTCTTCCGACGCTCCGCTGAGGGAAGAGGCTGCTGACTCGGGGTCTGAGGCCTCGCCCCCAGCTCCACCCCGGCTGTCCCCCTCAATCCGCCGTGGCCCAGGCTTCACCCGGCAGTGGTCCTCTGGAGAGAGAGACACACATGAGCTACCAGACCAGAAACCCATCACAGGTCCCGGGACTGACAGAGGCTGCAGTCCCCAGAACTGGATCCCCCAGGCTGGGCTGGTCCCCTACAGAGATAGATGGACAGGGAGGACAGCAAAGACACTGGTGGGCTCAGTAGGGCCAGCTGGGGGCTGTGGGGGGTGCTCACAGGTGGAGCGTTTTCTCAGAGGCCTGGGTTGGTCAGAGATCTTGGGGAAGCAGCCAGAACCAAGGACCTTAGGACCCCTGTGACTGTGTGTGCTTCCCATGGAGGAGGGGCTGGGTCTGGGAACCCAGGAGGCAGGCAAGGCCTTGGCTGGAGTCGGGGGGTCAGACCCTGAGAGAAATCAGGGGCCCTGGGTCCAGCAGGCTGGGTCCCACCTCCACCCAGACACAGGGTCCTCTAGAAGGCGGGTTAGGGGAGGGGTCTGGTGCAAGGGTCCCCGCTGGGAAAGTGCTGGGGCCGCAGGGCCCAACCTCCGTGCAAAGGAGTCAGAAAGTCAGTGGAAGGAGACAGTGGCAGGCAAGGGCAGCCGGAGGCAGTGTGCTTCAGAGCACAGGGAACGGCAGATCCCCAGATGCCACAGGCCCCTAGCCCACGCTTTTGGGGGAAAGGGTTGAATTTACAAAGAGAGATGTGGGAGCTTTTGAGGGGTCTTCCCAACCAGGGAGCTACCAAGGCTGAGCTGAGGGTAGGTGAGGTAGAGTGGGTCTTCAGGACATGGGCTAAGGGTCTGGGGCAAAGGGCCTGACCATCTGGAGAAAAGGTTGGGGCTGGGCTCTCAAATGTATGAAGCAGGGCACAGGGTCCCAGCGGTCAGAAGAGAATAGCTGTGAGCTGGCTGAGGCAGTGGGCTGCCTCTGGTCATGAATTAGAGCAAGGGACGAGGGTGGGGACTGCCTGGGAACCTGGTGCAGGGTCTGGGGGACAGCACATGCTGAGGCCCCACCTGAAGAGCCTCACTAAGGGACTTAACTTCTTTGATGGGGAAGGAGTGCTCATTAACCAAGGACGGGACACGGTGGGTAGGAAGACAGCCCCTGGTGTCACACAGGGGAGGGGACAGAAGAGGCTAGATGGCTGGACTCCTGGATCTCAGAGAAGACAGGCCTGGGAAGAGAAGCGGGGGCCCCTGAGGACACTCAGAGGACTAGGATGGGCTTCTCAGCCAAAGAGAAGCAGGAACATCCCCTAGGAGTCCGGAAGAGAGAAGCTCAGGTCCCTGAGTCCCTAAAAGCACCCAGGGCTGGGGAAACATGGTGGGACACTTGAGGCTGATGGAGAAGGCAGAACGGGCCCCAGGAGATAGTTCATGGGGTTGAGGCCTTGGAGGCCAAGCGAGAAGGAAGCTGGGCTTGAGGCCTGGAAACAGGCAGGGGACTAGCAGAGAGGGCCAACATGGCAGGTCCCACACAGCCAAACAGTGGAGCCTCAAGCCTGGGCAGGCGGGTGCCCAGGAGCGGGACAGGGAGGTGACAGGCCCAGTGTGTCCCACAGACACACCTGCATCCATTCGAGCGGAAGAGATGAACTTGTCCAGCTGGCAGCGCAGGAAGTCCCTCTCTTCCTCCAGGTCCTCGATGCGTTTCTGCAGCCAGGAGTTCCTCTCCAGGGCCATGTGCAGCTGGGCCTTGACGCTGTTCATCAGGGCCCGGGTAGGGGATGTGTCTTCAGGGAGCCCTAGGGACACAGCAAGGGCGGGGCCCAGGTCACACCTTGGGACTCAGGGCCTGGCTTCCCAGCTGGCTCCAATCCCTCCTCGGCCCCTCAGCTCACCCTCGAAGTTTCCCCGAGAGGGGCTCAGACTGTAAAAGATCTGGGAGTCTAGGTGGGGCGCCTCGTCGAAGGGGATGGAGATCTCGAAGGCCTCATCTTCCTTCACTGGAGAGGAGAGGCCCTGGGTCACCCCAGAGGAGTTCCCAAGCCCCTCAGCCCACCGCCCCCAACCACGGCAGCCTGGAGCAATAGCACTGGGACCCAGCTTCCTCACTTGTCCGCCTCCGGCTGGTCCGGTCATTCATGGTGTGGCTTCCTGTGGACCCCAGCAGCCGAGCGCCTCAGAGGCACTGGACAGAAACAGCAGCCACAAATGGAGGGACGCGGACGGACTCGAGGGTCCATCCTGGGGGAGGTGAGATGAGAGAGGAGGGAACCCTGGTCTGAGGGAGGAGGGAGCCCGGACGCCAGGACTGAGGCCAAACGTCCAGGTTCGAACTCCTGGCCTCCCAGAGACAGGGGCAGGGGGCCCAGCCGCCTATGTCCTGAGGAAGAAGTGAGCTGGGGACGTGGGCTCCTGGGTATGAAAGGAAGAAGCGGAAGCCCTAGGTAATTGCTGGGGCTCATCGCAGGCCACCTCCAGGCCTAAGCAAGAGGCAGGTGCAAGGGAAAACTGCCCCAACTTCCCAGGATAGGGGGAGGTCCGGCCGGTGCGCGCGGCCTCCCACACCCCCTGGGCTCCATGCCCCTCCCCCGCACTCGCGTGGGCGGGCGAACCCTCCCCCGGTGGTGGGGGCTGGGCGCGTGCGCAGTACGGGGAAAGGTCACGCGTGGGGATGCGCCCCCCCCGCCCCCGCCCTTTGTCCCGCGGGTTGGGGGGGAGCAGTCGTGGAAAGATCCCAGCGGGGTCATGCAACAGGCCGGGGGTGCAAACGCGGCCACCATCCCCTGACCGTGGATGCCCGGGGTCCGAGGGGCCGCGGTCCCCCACGCTCACCCACCCGCGCGTGGAATCCGGCTCGGGGACCGACGGCGGCGGCGCCCATGCCCGGCGCCGGGGAATGTCTGCAAAGTGTCACGGGGAGCCGAGGGAAGCGCCCACTCACCCGCGAACAGGCGGGGCGGCAGGGTAGCGAGCCGTGGAACTGAGCGATGGAACGGACAGGGACGTGGGGACTCGCCCCGTCGGGCTAGGCCAGCGCGCCTCGTTCGAGAGTCCCTGGGTCCAGGTGAGGCCTGTCGTTTGCGGCAGAAGCAGGGGGATGCACTTGTGCGATGGTCCCTTACAGCACTCCCCCGCCCTCCCCGAAGCTCAGGCAGGGAACGTCACGAAATTCCCATCCAGGCGAGCCGGAGAGTCTCCGGGGGTCCCCGGGTTCGGTGGCGGTGTGCCCAGTGGGCCCCGGAGAAGGCAGGAGAGTTGGAGCGAAAGAATCTACTTTTAACGATCCCTCCGGAACTAGCCAGCGCGGACCCGCCCAGAGCCCCCGCCTCCCACAGCCAGACTCCAAGTTTCCCAGGGACGTGGGGGCCAAAATGGGGGAAGCTACCCTCTCCCGGAAAGCGAGGGCCAGGAACACGCCACCCCCACCCCCATGTTGGTAATGAAGAGCTAGCTTTGGAGCAGAGCTACATTCCAGTCCAGACTGTTCCTGCCCCTCCCCAGCCTGCTAACTCACCTGTGAAATGGGGACATGACAAGCCCTAAATTTCTTGCCAGCGTGCGGTGCTGTGACAGGCAGAAGCGCAGCCCAGCACCTGGCCATAGGCAGGGCTGAAGAGAGGGGCGCTGCCGGCATTGAGGCCACATGATGGGGTGTGATCGCAGCCTCTGTGAAGCTCTTTCCCACTTCTGGGAGTTGAAACAGATTTGTTCCTCCTCCCAAAAGAGGTCGGGAGAACAAACGCGGCCTAGCACAGGGCCTGGCACAAAACAGGCAAGGAAAGTGCACTCAGCTCCATCTGCCTCTCCTGTCCACCAGAAGCATCCAGCCAGCTCTTAAGAAAGCGAGGTCTTCACTCCATAGAGAATCTACATGTCTGCACCTCCTGCAAAGCTATGACCATGACTCTCCTCCCCAGCTCACTTTACAGATAAACTGCAACCTGGTCCAAAAATTCCTGGGCGAGCCACCTGCCCTAGATTGGCCTCTTCCAAAGTACAAGATCGTGGGTGGAGAATTCAAAACAGGGTGGAATCAGCAGTTTAAAAAAATAATTAGCCGGGTGTGGTGGCACATACCCATAATCCCAGCTACTCAGGAGGCTGAGGCAAGAGAATCGCTTTCACCCGAGAGGCAGAGGTTGCAGCGAGCCAAGATGGCACCACTGCACTCCAGCCTGGGTGACAGAACAAGACTCCATCTCAAAACAATAATAACAGTTGATGGAAAAAAAAAATCTGCATACTAAAGCTAACTATGGTAAAGAAATTTTTGTCTCGAGGCCCAGCACTCTGGGAGACTGAGGCATGTGAATCACCCAAGGTCAGGAGTTCCAGGCCCATCTGGCTAACATGGTAAAACCCCATCTCTGCTAAAAGTGCAAAATTAGCCAGGCGTGGTAATCCACACTTGTAATCCCAGCTATCTGGGAAGCTGAGGTAGAAGAGTCACTTGAACCCAGGAGGTGCAGGTTGCAGTGAGCCGAGACCACACCATTGCACTCAGTCCAGAGCAAACACTAAAAACAAACAAATAAAAGGCCTGTAATCCCAGCGCTTTGGGAGGCTGAGGCAGGCAGATCACGAGGTCAGGAGTTCTGAGACCAGCATGGCCAATATGGTGAAACCCTGTCTCTACTGTAATACCAGCTACCCGAGAGGCTGACACAGAAGAATTGCTCGAACCCGGGAGGTGGAGGTTGCAGTGAGCCGAAATTGTGCCACTGTACTCCAGCCTGGGCAACAGAGGGAGACTCCATCTCAAAAGAACAAACAAAAAAAAGAAACTTGTTTCACATATATTTTGTATATCTGTGTACTCTATTGCCATATAAAATCTGTTAGTTTTAAAATTTAAGTTTAAAAATATTCTTTCCAGATGACACAGGTCTTTAGGAGCTGAGGCAGGGTTAACCCCACGGCAGGCCGACCTTCCTATTCCCCAGCCAGGCGGCCACAAAACAGGGTCTGAGATGCTGTGTCTGGAAACAAACCAAGTGCTCAGAGTGGGAAATGTGTTTATTGTCAGGTCAGTCTCAGGCCTGGTTGGGGGGTATAAGGCAGGATGGGGGTCCCTTCCCCAACAACAGCACAGGCCTCAGGAAGATGGCAGCAATTCCTGATGACCCCAGCCATCTTCTATGAGGCCAGAGGATTTCCACAGCACTCTCCCAACCCCCATCCAGTCAAGGCTCTGCCACGGAATAGCTGATCTCTTTAGGACTCCACTCTGCGTGGGGTTCATTCCCATCTCAGCTCCAAAACACGGAGGACCTGAAGACTACTCACGGATTCCTCCTTCGGGCAGGACTCTGCCTTTGAGATGCGGCTGCTCTATGTCTGTTCGGGGCCCTGAACGCCAGCCTCAGGCTCTCACCAGGTGTCTGGACCAGAGTCCAGGCTCCCTGCAAAGTCCTGTGGTACCTGGGGCACCCAGCCACGCGGCTCACGGGTGCTTCCACCGCGTGTGCTTCTGCAGCGTGTTCTGCTCCATGAAGCGGCGAGGGCAGTGCGGACACTGGAACGGGCGTTCCCCGGAGTGCACCCGGCTGTGCTGGGCCAGCTCACCCGCATCCCGGAAGCGGCGAGGGCAGAGCGGGCAGCCGTGGGGCCGTCCGCCACCCGCCCGGTGAATGGAGATGTGCCGTGCCAAGTGGCTGGCCCGCTTGAAAGCCTTCCCACAGGTGTCACACGTGAAAGGCTTCACCTCCGAGTGCGTGATGCTGTGTCGCTGAAGGTACGACATGTACTCGAAGACCCTGGAGCACACCGGGCAGCTGTAGCACTTTTTCTGGCCTGAAGCCCCATTGGCCCCCGGCTCCCTCTTCGACTCTTCATCCACCAGCACAGTGTAGGGGACACCCTGAGTGTCAATGAGCAGGTAATGGTTGGGCTTTGGAGGGGATGAAGTCTGGGGAGCTCCGATGGAGGAGGAAGGTCCAGGTTCTGGGGAGCGGCATGTCCGACGCGGAGGGCCCTCCATGGTCTCAACGGAGGAAAATGCCAGGGGCTGAGGGCAGCGGGATGGCAGCACCAGCATCCGGAGGGGTGGCTGAGGCCTGGCGGATGGGAAACAGGATAGGAAGGTTATACAGAAGAGGGCAGCTCAGCACCGCAGGCTCCACCCTTTTCCCTCCCTATATCCGCCCCAGGACTTCTGCAGCCCGTGGCCCCTCAGTCCCTCCTCCAGTCCCACTCAAAGCTGGACTCTGGCCCCCTAAAAAGTTCCCCCCTCCTTGGAAAACCTCTTCCAGCCTCGGTGCTCCGCCACCCACTGTACTCACAGGACCTCTTGGCCTGCTCTGCACAACCTGGACCTCGCTCTGACTTTCCCCTTTGTGCCCTCCCAGGTCACTGGGTGCCCCCCCCGCAGGCCTCAAGGCCTCTCCCTCCCCTCTTTCTGGCTCCTTCCAGGGTCTGCGTGTTGGCCCATCCTACACACTCCACTCAAGCCTTTCCTGCCCCCTCCATACATGCCAAACCTATTCACAGGGGCTGCGAGTTAGGCCCCCCAGGTTCTGGGTCCCTCTCCAGGCACGTGCCTGGAGAACTCTGTGCCCCCGCCCCGTCCACCCACCTCAGGTGCTCGCTAGTCCTCGCCCGGCCACCACCAGGCTCGTTCTAGGTCCCAGCAGTCTCCAGGCCTCCACCCCGAGGGCCGCAGCTCTCGCCTTCTGGGCCTTTCAGTGGAACTTCTCGACCCCGGGAAGCCCCAAAACAGCCCCCTCCGGTGCCTGCCCCACCCCCGCCCGGGCCCAGGTACCCTCCACGCGGCCCCGGCCCTCCCGCCGCCCGCTCCCAGCCCCCTCTCTCTTCCCGGCCCTCGTACCCAGTGCAGCAGCCTCTCAGGTCCGGGCGACTCCAAGTGGCCCCGGGCTACCCTCGCAGTTGCAGGCGGCGGCGGGAAGGGAACTTCTGGGTGTGCCCGAGGAGCAGACGGCGCCGGCCAAGAGTAGCCGAAGAGAGGAGAGGGTCTAAAGAAGGAAGTTGGGGGCGGGGCGCCGAGGCCGTCGCGAAACGGCTCCGGCCAGAAACACACACCCAGAAGAAGGTTCCTAAGCGAAGAAGGTCCGGCCTCCACCCCCCAGCACCCAGGGCGCACGCACACGCAAGACAGACCCTGATCATGGAATGCGGAATGTTTATTGAGCGAAGGGTAGGGAGCGTGGGCGGAAGGGGGGTAGATACAGAAATGAACCAGACCGTGCCCGCGCTCTTTATCATCTCTTCCCCGCTGACAGCCACCGGCTCACCGCTCCAGAGGGCAGGAGACCAAGGCTTAGAGAGGTCATGTCACTTGCAAAAGTTCACACAGCACAGCTGGACCGGAACGCAGTTCCGACTGGTTCCCGGGTCCAGGGAGGGGCAACGACTTTGGTCTACATCACACAGCTAGAAAGGGGATAAGGAAAGAATGATGCGCCTCCCTTTGGAAGGTGGGGAAACTGAGGCCCGGGGTAAGGCAGTAACCTCAGCAGAGCCGGGGGGTGTGTGTGGGAGTGAGTGACGCTGTGTGGGTCAGACTTGGTGGCCCTGAGAGGGGCAGGGCAGCACAGGCCGGGTCTCGAGCTCAGTGGAGGCGCACGTGCTGCGCCAGCTCCGCGGCGTCCTGGAAGCGGCGTGGGCAGAGCGGGCAGGTGTGCGGCGGCCCGGCGCGGGCGCGGTGCGTGGCGCGATGCCGCGACAGGTGGCTGGAGCGCTTGAAGGCCTTGCCGCAGGCGCCGCACGTGAAGGGCTTGAGGTCCGAGTGCGACACGCGGTGGCTCTGCAGCCTCAGAGGGCTGGCAAAGACACGGGCGCACTCCGGGCAGCTGTAGCCCTTGCGAGGGCTGGGCTCTCCTGGGGGCGCCTCGCGCTGGGGCGGGCCCCGGGGCTCCTCCTCCAGCTGCACCGTGTATGTGTAGGGGACCCCGTTGGCGTCGATGAGGAGGTGGCGGCCCAGCCGCGGGGGTCGGGGCCCCGCCGCCGAGGAAGGCGTGGAGGAGGGGCCTTCCGCCTTGGGAAAAGGGGGAGCCTTGGGGGGCGGTGGGTCCATGGCCTCCGGAGAGGAGGACCGAGGGTGGGGTGGCCGCGGCGGCAGCAGCAGCATCTGGAGCGGCAGCTGGGAGCGGCGGAGGGGAGATTAGTTAAAATTGCCACTTCCTTTAAGGAAAAGCTTCTTAAAATGGAAAGCGTCCCCACTATCACTGCTTGTTGCCCTTTATGCGCCACTGACCACCTCCCCAGCAAAATACAAACTGACTGCAGCCCAGCTCTCCCACGTTCCATCAGCCTGCCTCGGAGGGGCCTCCAACTGAGCTCGGCAAAACCCTGCCACCACCCGCCGTTCCTCCAGGGCCCGCCTCTCAGCACCCAGCCAGGTCTGAGGGCGTGGCCCCCCGACTTCTCAACCCACCCCAGCAGACAATCAGTCCTCAACTCTGTTTACCCCTTTTATGTCTCACGGCCCGGCCTCCTGACCTCCGGGATTTCTCTAATCTGTGCTTTCTTCCTCTGTTGCCCAGCCCCAGTTCAGGTTGCTTCCCCTCCCTCTGCCCCCCACCCCGCCGCCACGGGCCCCGCATCAGCCTCCGCGCCCTCCCGGGGCTGCATCCCCGCTACAAGCCGCAGGGCCTCCCCATCTTCAGATTCCGTGGCCTCCCTCACTTCCTTTCTAGGTGCCTCCCCAGAGCCCCACTAACCCAATTCCCCACATTTCACTAGGGCTCCTCCATCCTGCTCCTACACTTAGCACCTGGAAGTCTAGCCACCTCTCCCCACTACGGAACCCATCGTCTCATCCATCTAGAAAGAACCAAGATGCCTCAAATGCCTGCCTTATGTATACCCCGTCCCCCCAACCTGGCTATCTGCTACATTCTCCCCCGCCCCTCAGACGACGGCGACATCGTGACTTCTTTCTGTACCCATCAGGGGGCTTCTCCCAGGCCCCGGAACTCCGCTTCCCACACTACCTCTCCAAAGCCCCCCTTTCCCTCCTTTCTCTGCATCTCATTCTCCTCTTCACCTCTTCCAGGAGCCCCATCCCTCTCCCCGTTACACAGCATGGCCCCATCCCTGTTCTTTCGCTCCGCTCCCCTTGATTGTGGGAACCCCAGCGCCTGGGCGTTTTCGCCCCCAACCCGCTACACCGCCCCCCCGACCCCGGGGCCCCTCCTTTTCCCCTCACTTCCCGGCCCCCGTACCCCGTGCGTCGGCCTCTCGGGTCCTTAGGAGGGGGCCGAGGTCCCGGGCTGCCCCGGGCTTCCCCTGGCGAGCGCCGGCGGCGGAACCGAGACTTCCGGGCAGCTCCGGGCCGGCGGCGCCGGGGACGCGGGGACTGGGGGCGCGGGCGCGGGGGCGCGAGGGGCGGCGGCGTCCCTGGGAAAAGGCGCCGGCCGGAAGCGCGCGAGCCCCGCGCGGAGGTTCCGCCGCCTGGAGCCGGCGCTCCCACCGCCCCCACCCCCGCCTCTGCGGAGCGCCCTGCGGGGAGGGGACCCGAGGCGGGGGGGCCCACGGAAGACGCCCGCCCCCGGCGGCCCAACTCCCCTCAAGCCTCCCGACCGGAACAGTTCGGCCGCTTTGACAGAGATCGGCCAATAAACCGATACTAAGCAAAGTGACGTCTTGGCCCGCAAGCCCACAAGGGTTTGTTCTCTTTCCACTGGGCGGTAGCTGCCTGACCCGCCGTGGCCACCCACCGAGGCAGACGGCGGGAGAAGGGGTGTTCCTGCCGGCTGAGCAAATGGGGAGACCGAGGCCCGGAGAAGGCCAGACACTGCCACATAGCGTGGGAAGGTGTGTACTTCCCACAGGCACATGCGGGAACTGAGACCACAGAGGGCCAGACTGCTGAATGTGCAGGTGGGGGGGGTGTGAGGTTTCCAGAAGTCACGTGGGGACACCGAGGCGCAGCGAAGGCGGAGGTGGGAAACGCTGGCACTGCCCCCGAGAGCCGCGGGAAGCCTGGTGCGGGCGCGCGAGCTGCGCCGGGTCCTGGGGCACTTGAGGCCTGGGCGCTGGCTGCGCACACGAAGGACTTGGGCGTCCAGAGCAACCGCGGAGGCGTAGCGGCCGCACTAGGAGCCGCACACGTGGTCAGCACTAGGGGCAGCTGCAGCTCACGCCCGGCTGCAAGTGGCACCCACAGCTCCTCCTCCAGCCATGTGGCACCTCGGCCTCGCAGGAGGCCGGCAGCAGCAGCATATGCAGGTGCAGCTGGGAGTGGGGGACGGCAGGGCAGTAACTGTAGCAGCCAGCCCCAGGACCCTGGGTGTGCCACAGCTACGTCCTAGAGCACTGTCCATCAGAACTTTCTGCAATGGTGAAAAGTTCTATGACAGTCACTAGCAACGTGAGAGTCTTAACACTTGAAATGTGGCCTGTGCGTCAGAGGACCTGAATTTTAAATTTCCCATTATCAGTGCGGTGGCTCAGGCCTGTAACCCCAGCACTTTTGGAGACCGAGGCGGGCAGATCACCTGAGGTCAGGAGTTCAAGACCAGCCTGGCCAACATGAGGAAACTCCGTCTCTCATAAAAATACAAAAATTAGCTGGGCATGGTGGTGTGCCCTGCTGTCCCAGCTATTTGGGAGGCTGAGGCAGGAGAATCACTTAAACCCAGGAGGTGGAGGTTGCACTGAGCCAAGATTGTGCCACTACCATCCAGCCTGGGTGACAGTAAGATTCTGTTTCATGATAATTTCCCAACATGGTGAAACCCCATCTCTACTAAAAATACAAAAATTAGCTGGATGTGGTAGTGCATGCCTGTAGTCCCAGCTACTTGGGAGGCTGGGACTGAGGCAGGAGAATCGCTTAAACTTGGAACACAGAAGTTTCAGGGAGCCGAGATCATACCACTGTACTCCAGGCTGAGACTCTGTCTCAGGAAAAAAAAAAAAAAAAGAGTTTGTCACCTCCCACCAGTCTTTTGCCCCCACCATGTGATATGCCAGCCACCCCTTCACCTTCCACCATGATTGTAAGCTTCCTGAAGCCCTCACCAGAAACAGCTGCCACATGTCCTGAACAGCCTGCAGAACTGTGAGCCAATTAAACCTCTTTTCTTTATAAATTACCCAGCCTCAGGTATTCACTCAGAGATGCCACAAAACTAACACAATCCTCTCTCGTTTCAGACCACATAACTGGTGGCATGATAGTGGCCACGACCCCCACCCCCACTGCTATCCCTGAAAACAATGACAACGTAACCAGCATTTATTGAGCCTTCACTCGGGAACAGCCATGGCTAAAGCATAGCATCCTCGGGGCAGAGCTACAGGAGTGCCATGAGGATCCCTATTTTACAGATGAGGGAAGCGGAGCTCAGAGAGGTGCTGTGACTGGCCTGAAGTCACACATCCGCAGACGGGGTGGCCAGGACAGCACCTGCTTCTGCCTGCCCACAGTCAGTACACATGACCCGTCAGCAAGCCACACACTTCCCCATAATCCCACAGTCGCTGCCGCCGCCCCAGAGCAAACCACCACCATTCACCCCGGCTGAAGACAGCAACAGTCTCCCCCTCCAACCCTCTCCCTCCCCTCTCTGCTGTTGTTGTCTGTTTTTCAGATAGACTCTCACTGTGTTGCCCAGGCTGGAGTGCAGTGGTGCCTTCTCGGCTCACTGCAGCCTCCAACTCCTGGGTTCAAACGATTCTCCTGCCTCAGCCTTCCAAGTACTGGGCCACCACGCCCAGCTACTTTCTTGTTATTTTAGAAGACACAGGGTTTCACCATGTTGCCCAGGCTGGTCTCGGACTCCTGGCCTCAAGCGATCCACTGCCGCAGCCTCTGAAAGTGCTGGGATTACAGATGTGAGCCAGTGCGTCTGGCCTTCTCCCTCCCCTCTCTATGGCAATTTCCAAGTGATTTTTTTAAGCTCATAGAATTATTCCCTAAATTAAAACCTTCCCCTTTGAGACTGAGCAATATATTGAAACCCTGTCTCTCCAAAGAAATGATAATGACAATTAGGCAGGGGTGGTGGTGCCTGCCTACAATCCCAGCTACCCAGGAAGCTGAGACAGGATTGCCTGAGCCCAGAGTTTGAGACTGCAGTGCCTTGTGATCTAAACCTTCCCCTCTGCCCTTATCGAGTAAACCCAGACACTCTGCAAGGCCCTGTGTACACTGGCCCCGCAGCTGCCTTTCCTTCTGGGCGCCACGGTGCTGCCTGTCCCTTGCCCGCTGCACCAGCCTCTCCCATCTGCAGAGCCTTTGCGCTTGCTCTTTCCCTCTCCGTGATGTTCCTTTCAGCTCCTCACAAGAGTGACTCCTTCCTGCATTCTGATTTCAGCTCACGTAACACTTGGTCATAGCAACCATGTCAGCTTGAGGTGCCCTCCATCTGTTCATTTCCCTCATACCCCACAGCACGATCCATGATGGCCTCGCTGACCTACTGCCTGTCTGCCCCACTCTCCAAGGCCCAGCTCCATCCTGGTCAACATTCTACTCTCAGAATCTATCGAAGGTCACAGGAAAGGGTAGGGAATCCATTCGATATTGGTTGAATGAATAAATGAATAAATTTGATTGCCCCATCCAAAAGCCAAGCATTACTTCCCTACCCAACTCCCCACCAAACAGAACCCCTACTCACCCCCGAGACATGATCATGGGGAAACCATAGCATCTAGAACTTTGAATGTCCTCATTTCCTCCCACTCCCTCACTCCCCAAAGCCAGGCAAGCATCGAGTTCCATACCCTCACCCACTGAAATGTTCTTAGAGCTGGCCACTCCCCTCCATTCTCCAAGCTCAGCTCTGGCCCCTCCCTTCTCACGTGGACCACGATACCAGCCTTCTCCCTGGTACCCTGGCCTCCTGTTCCCCTCCCACACTGGCCTGACCCCGACGGATTCTTCTCACAGCTGTGTTGATGCAACTTTAGCACCATGCATAACAGTCTCCCTGCCCCCTTCACCCTCAGGACCAAGTGCGAGTTTCTCAGCCTAGAATTTGAGGCCCTTTGTGAGGTGACCCAGCCACTTCCCCACCTCACCTCTCTTCCTGTGCTCCAAGCATACATGGCATCTCACAGCCCCCTGGCCAGACCCCGAACATACACGGCTCCATACGGAAAGGCGTGTGTGTGTTCCGTGCCCTGGGAATTCTTCCCCTTCACTACGGCAGCCTTCCCTTAGCCTTCCTTCTAGAATCATGTCTTCTGACCTCTCAAATTGGCCAGGTGTCTCCTATGTGCCCGGCTCACCAGTCCACCAGCTCCTCTGCTTAAAATCCTCCCTACAGTATAGTATAACCCCCTCAGCCTGGCTGAGGCCTCTCACAACCTGGCCAAGGCTACCTTTCCCACCCTTGCACCTCACCCCACTTGTTCCAGACAGCTGCAGCGAATCTTTCTGACGTCTCCATTTACACCTCAAATCTCGGGCCACAGTGGCTGATTACCCCTGTCCCCAAACTTCAGTTTACACTGCGTGTTCATATCCAGTCTCGATGAATCCTCTCGACGGTCCAGCGAGGCTGGCAATCAGACGCACTCCACGGCGCAGAGTGGGCAGAGGCCACTCGGATCTCCGGCCGGAGTGACCGAGTGACCCCAGCTCCACCACCCTCACCTCCCTCTGGCTGCCCAAACCCTCCACAGCCTGCAGTCTGGGTCCTACCTCCTCCAGGAACCTTTCCCGGCCACCCCCTCTTCTCAAGGTCCGCTATTCGTCCCACTTTGTCTTCCCATGCAATAACCCCTTGTCCCCTCGGGGACAACTGGGACCCAAGAGGTCCACTCTCAACGCTTTCTGCCCTCCTCTTCCTATACCTCGTCCCCGGCCTCCGCAGCCCCTCCCCAAGCCTTCCTCGAAGGACCTCAGTTTCTAATACCCACTGCCCTGGGGGCCACTGTGTCCCACACCCAAGTCCTTCACTTGGGCAGGACTCTTCAGAATGCCGTCCCTGCTGAACCTGCTCGCTCCCCGGAGTCCGGTCCGGCCACCCTCTCCCTACGCAGCAAACTTTCACGTCCGGAAGTGGCCGCAGGGACGACTTCTGAAATGCTCCGACTTCTCCAGCAGCTTCCGGATTCCCAAAGCATCAGGAAAGCACTCCGGCCAGAAACGCACACGCAAGAGAAAGGTTCCCGGGTCGCGCCCCTTGCTGCTGCTCTGCAAACAATACACGGAAGTTCAAATGAAATCACAATTTGGCGCAGTGCTGGATGCTGAGGGAGGGAGTAGAAGAGAGGTGGCTTTTGTCCAAAAAATAGGACTTTTCTTACACAGTCACTTAATCAGGCCGGGCGCGGTGGCTCACGCTTGTAATCCCAGCACTTTGGGAGGACGAGGCGGGCAGATCACGAGATCAGGAGTTCGAGACCATCCTGGCCAACATGGTGAAACCCCGTCTCTATTAAAGATACAAAAATTAGCCGGGCTTGGTGGCGGCGCCTGTGATCACAGCTTCTCGGGAGAATCGCTTGAACCCGGGAGGTGGAGGTTGCGGTGAGCCGAGATCACGCCATTGCACTCCAGCCTGGGTAACAACAGCGAAACTCCATCTCCAAAAAAAAAAAAAAAGACGAAAGAAAATGCATTAACTAATATGATAGAATATGTTAGGAAGAAAATGCATTAACTAAAGGTAGAGAGACGCAACCTAAGGGTTGAGGTAATCAAAGAATCCTGTATCCCCCAATGTTTCTTACCCATTTAATCCTCCATTTCCCTACTCCTTAAACCCGTCATTTCCCCAAGGCGCTGATTTTTTAAGGCGTTCTATGTGCCCAAACTTTACACTTTTTTTTTTTCTTTTTGGGATGGAGTCTCGCTCTGTGAGCCACCGCGCCCGGCCCAAACTCTACACTTTCTTTTCTGAGACGGAGTCTCACTGTCACCTAGACTCGAGTGCAATGGCGCGATCTCGGCTCAGCGCAACCTCCGCCTCCTGGGTTCAGGTAATTCTCCTGCCTCAGCCTCCCGAGTAGTTGGGATTACAGGCACGCGCCACTGTGCCAGCTAATTTTTGTATTTTTAGTAGAGACGGGGTTTCACCATGTTGACCAGGATGGTCTCGATCTCTTGACCTCGTGATCCACCCGCCTCGGCCTCCCAAAGTGCTGGGATTACAGGCGTGAGCCACTGCGCCCGGCCTGTTTGTATTTTTTAGTAGAGATAGCTTTTACCACGCTGGCCAGGCTGGCCTCAAACTCCCAGCATCAGGTGATCCACCTGCCTTGGCCTCCCAAAGTGCTGGGGTTACAGGTGTCAGCCATCACACCTGGCCAGATTGATCTTTATTGGAAAACTGCTTTGAAAGGGAACCCTCTTAAGCCTCATGGGGGCGACAAAGACCAAAATATCAAAATATCTCACCCACCTTAGGACCTAGGAAAAGTAGGTAGAGACTACTGTGTTTCCTCTAATCTACAAAAACTCAATTTCAAAGACTCGTTCAGCCTCACTGAGGAAACTTATGTAACTCATGACTAGAATTTGGAAGAGGAAGGCCCTTTGGTTTCTCAAATTCAGCTCTAACATGTCACAGATAAGGAAACCGAGGACCAGTGAGCTTGAATGGAATGATGGTGGCTAGATGTGGTAGCTCACATCTGTCATCCCAGCACTTTGGGAGGTCAAGGCAGGAGGATTGCTTGAACCCAGGAGTTCAAGCCCAGCCTGGGCAACATGGTGAAGCCCTGTCTCTACAAAAAAAAAAAAAAATTACAAAACTTAGCCGGGCATGATGGCATAAGCACTTGTAGTCCAAGTCACTCAGGAGGCTGAGGTGGGAGGATCACTTGAGCCAAGGAGTTTGAGGCTTCAGCGAGCTATGATTGTGCCGCTGCGCTCCAGCCTGGGTGACAAAGCAACACCCCGTCTTGAAAAAAAGAAAAGTTGGTCACAGTGAGTGGATGGCAGAGCCAGGATTAGAACACAAAGGTCAGGAGGTCTTTACACATCCTCATCTAAGAATCTTGATTTTTAGGGAATGGAGGCTGTGGCCCTTCAGGGATACAACTGGCAAAGTCAAGGTTGGGAATGATGGAGGGCTTCCGTGGGGAACATGTTTCTTGATGGGAAACAGAAGCCCCAGAACAGGTGGAGGGCGTGGTCTGGACTGGTCAGCCACATGCTGAGAGTCAGTGCCGGCAAACAACGGTTAGGAAAACGAGAAAGTGGGCCTTTGAGTTTCTGTTCACCCAGAGCCCTGTGAATTCATGAAAATGCTGCCTTGCTTCAGTGCAGGCTGTCTTGAAGGATTAGGGTTGTGTGGCAAAAATATCATGTTTTAATAGGCGGCTTAGAAATGACAGGATCCTGTATCTGGTCTGAAAACAATCAGTCCTTTCCAGGAGGACCTGAGAGCCACTGGGGGCTCCATTCCCCACCTGGTGGCTCGGTTTGCCCATCTGACCCAAAAGAGGTCATCCTTTTTTCCCATTTTATTTACTTTATTTATTTATTTAGACGAGGGCTTGTTCTGTCAGTCAGACTGGAGTGCAGTGGTATCATCGTGACTCACTGCAGCCTCTTACCTCCTAGGTTCAAGGGATCTTCCCACTTCTCAGCCTCCTGAGCAGCTGGGACTACTATTAGTGTGTACCACCACGACCAGCCACTGTTTATATTCTTTGTAGAGACAGTTTTGCCATGTTGCCTAGGCTGGTCTTGAACTCTTGGGCGCAAGCAGTCCTGCCTTGACTTCCCAGTATGCTGGAATTACAGGCGTGAGCCACCATGCTGACCAAGAACTATTCATTTTTCAGGGCAACTGAGCACAGACAATGTGCCAAGCAAGGGACGATGCTGGTGGAGCTATCTACAAGTACCTGACTAAAGAACTTGGACTTTGTGCCAGAGGCACTGGGGCATCATGGGAGGGTTGAGCTGCAGGGGAACGGCATTTGGTGAGAGCATTAGGATTCCTCTAGAAAGAATGGCCTAAAAGCCACACAGGAGAGGAGCTGCAGGGGTGCCTCACTCTGCCTGGGAGAAGGAGGTAGGCAGAAGTCAAACGTGGCTTTCCAGAGGAAATAAGTCCTGAAAAAAAAAAAAAATGAACAAGTTACACAAGAATAGTTACTTGGCCAGGTGCAGTGGCTCACGCCTGTAGTCACAGCACTTTGGGAGGGTGAGGTGGGAGCATCATAAGCTCAGGAGTTAGAGACCATCCTGGCCAATATGGTGAAACCGTCTCTACTAGAAACACAAAAATTAGCTGGGCGTGGTGGTGCACGCCTGTAATCCCAGCTACTCAGGAGGCTGAGGCCAGAGAATCACTGAAACCCAGGAGGCAGAGGTTGCACTGAACGGAAATGGTGACACTGCACTCCAGCCTGGGCAAAAGAGCAAGACTCCATCTCAAAAAAAAAAAAGAAAAGAAAAGAAAAAAAAGAACGGTTAAATGAGGCTGCTGGAACAGTCCAACGCTTAGCACCTGGACATGTGAAAGAGTAAGGGTAGGGCACAAAGTGGTGAGAGGTGAGGCTGCACTGTTCCGCCGACAATACCCGATGAATAGTCCTCAGATGCCAGACTGAGGAATTGATTTTATTTTATTTTTTGTCTTGAGTCAAGAGGAAGCAGCAGAAGAGATCAGAGCTGGGAAAAGCACGGGTTTTAGAAAGCATTTTAGAAAGATCTGTCTGTGGCCAGGTGCGGTGGCTCACGCCTGTAATCCCAGCACTTTGGGAGTCTGAGGAGGGCAGATCATTTGAGATCAAGAGTTAAAGACCAGCTTGGCCAACATGGTGAAACCCTGTCTTTACTAAACACACACACACAGCCGGACGTGGTGGCACACGCCTGTAGTCCCAGCTACTCAGGAGGCTGAGGCAGGAGAATCGCTTGAACCCCGGAGGCGGAGGTTGCAGTGAGCCCGAGATTGCACCATTTCACTCCAGCCTGGGCTACAGAGCGAGACTCCATCTCAAAACAAACAAAGATCTGTCTTCGTGTGTTAAGCGGCTGAGTTGGGAGCCGAGAGACTAGGGAGGAGGCTGGGCTGGTGCTGTGACCCAGATGAGGAAGAATGAGGTCTGAGCTAGGGACAAGGTTTTGTAGATGGGGAGACCTCGAGAGTGATTACACGGGGAATCCTTGGAGATGGGGAGACCTCGAGAGTGATTACACGGGGAATCCTTGGAGATGGGGAGACCTCGAGAGTGATTACACGGGGAATCCTTGGAGATGGGGAGACCTCGAGAGTGATTACACGGGGAATCCTTGGAGATGGGGAGACCTCGAGAGTGATTACACGGGGAATCCTTGGCGATGGGGAGACCTCGAGGGTGATTACACGGGGAATCCTTGGAGATGGGGAGACCTCGAGAGTGATTACACCGGGAATCCTTGAGAGTGATTACACGGGGAATCCTTGGAGATGGGGAGACCTGGAGGGTGATTACACGGGGAATCCTTGGAGATGGAGACCTCGAGAGTGATTACACGGGGAATCCTTGGGGATGGGGAGACCTGGAGGGTGATTACACGGGGAATCCTTGGAGATGGAGACCTCGAGAGTGATTACCTGGAGAATCCTCAGATCTCTCTCTCTTAACGAACGAGTGCCTGGTTTTCATTCCCTGATGAACTTCAGCGCTGCAGAAAGAATTTCGGCGTGGGAAAATAATACCAGCACCCGTTCCCAGGTGCCCCCTATTGTCCGTGCGAAGGCATTATGCTTGGTCCTTTCATGCACGGTTTTATTTCATCACCCTAGAGGTGACAGAATCATTGCTGTTTTACAAGTGATCAGTATGAAGCCGACTGAGAGTTCACAGCTCTAGGGCACGCCGGTAGCGCTGGACTGAGACTAACGCCCTCCCAACACGCCGGCATCTCTCAGCCCAAAGAGATCCGTTTTCCGTTCCCGCCTTCGGAGGCCAGCTGCCAGCCCCACACCGCACCTCGCCCGTGACGGCCCGTCTAGCCACTCCGCGTCTCTAGGGTTTTCCCTTCTTGCCCATCTACCCGCAGGCTTCCTCTCGTCTCTCCACCCACGCTGGCCCCTCTACGCGCTCACCTCTCTATGGTTCACCCTCTCCCCAAGCCCAGCCTTCCTTGCTTCTTACATCCGCTCCTTCTCCAGGCTCCTCCATGCTGGAGCCGGAGGGTCCTGCTCGGGTTGGGTCGGCTATTCGGGCTGTCTTTCTGGTCCAGCCCGGGATAAACGGTGGCCAGTGAGATTGCTTTTACGGAAGGCCCGAGCCGCGACTTCTGGAGCCAGTCCCCGGGAAGTAGGGTCGTGTTTTGGGTTCTTTGCGAATACGTTCCGGCTGGAAACACAAGGCTCCGAGAGGAAGGAGCCGCTCTCCCCTGGGACCTACCCCACCCCCTTCAATACTTGGGATTCCCCCCCGCCCCGCCCCACCAGTTTTCCAAAAGATCACCCTCCTCAGAGGGGCTTCCTGACCCTCGTTCATTTTTGTTCTGACAGCGCTGGGGACCAACAGGGAGATCGGGAAGTGCCCGTCTCACGACATAGACGAAAACATCAGTCCCAGGGAGGAACTCGCTTAGAACGAGTCAGCCTGGAGCCAGTTGGGGTTCCCGACCCTTCGTCCTGGAAAACTGCGCGTTTTTCTGTTTGAAGATGGGCAGAGCAGGTAGCGACAGGAAGGATCCCAAGAGAGGCGTGGGGGGCCGCCACAGTCAGGTTCCAAGTCGGAGTCCTGTCTTGCCCATCAGGATTCCCTCTTTGGGTAGGAATGCGGATGTTACTCTTCCCTTTAAAAATAGGGCCGGGCGCGGTGGCTCACGCCTGTAATCCCAGCACTTTGGGAGGCCGAGGCGGGTGGATCACGAGGTCAAGAGATCGAGACCATCCTGGTCAACATGGTGAAACCCCGTCTCGACTAAAGATACAAAAAATTAGCTGGGCATGGTGGCGCGCGCCTGTAATCCCAGTTACTCAGGAGGCTGAGGCAGGAGAATTGCCTGAACCCAGGAGACGGAGGTTGCGGTGAGCCGAGATCGCGCCATTGCACTGCAGCCTGGGTAACAAGAGTGAAACTCTGTCTCAAAAAAAAAAAAGTAGTTAAACATAACTATTCAGGTGGATTTACCACAAGGCTAGTAAAGCTCAAGCTTCAGAGGCTCCTCGCGGGGACAACTCCTTCCCTACGTAACGAGTGCCAACAGTTCCAAGTGTTTAAGAGTAGTCATTGCTCAAAAAAGTTTCCCATGCCCTCTAAACTTAACTTCATACCTGAAAGAAACGTGATTATGATTTTCCCAAACTTGACAATACTGAAAGTACAACTGTCATGAATCTGAAATAAAAGTTTCTTAAACTGCAAATTGTTGTGTGAAGAACAGACTGAAGGTCGTAGGGAGGAAAGTACAACACAGCTGTGTAAGGCCTACAATCCCAGCACTTTAAGAGGCCAAGCCAGGTGGATCACCTGAGGTCAGGAGTTCGAGACAAGCCTGGCCAACATGGTAAAAAGCTGTCTCTACTAGAAAAATAAAATTAGCCGGATCAGAAGCCGCTGAGCTCTTCCCTGGTTATTGCACGTCTAAAGGCCGAGCAGCCCCGTACGTAGCTAGGATGCCACCAGGAAGCCGAAGCCGCTCCTCCCGCATGTCCCCTCCGGCCAGCCGGGCCCCTCAGATGAGAGCTGCGCCCAGGCTCAGCCACCAGCATCGGCACCCCCCTCTGCAGTTGGCTCTCCTGCTGCTGCGCCCAGGCAGCCAGGTCTGCTGTCCCAGATGGCAAGCACTGCAGCTGGCGTGGCTGTGGGCGCTGCTGTGGGGCACACACTGGGCCACGCCATTACTGGGGGCTTCAGTGGAGGAAGTGATCCTGAGCCTGCGAGGCCTGACATCACTTACCAGGAGCCTCAGGGAACCCAGCCGGCACAGCAGCAGCGGCCTTGTTTCTATGAGATCAAACAGTTCTTGGAGCGTGCCCAGAACCAGGGTGACATCAGGCTCTGCGAGGGTTTCAGTGAGGTGCTGAAACAGTGCCGACTTGCAAACGGATTGGCCTGATCAAGAAGTTCAAACTGGAGAAATGGAAAACCAGCTCTTATAACCAAGTTAACTTGATATAAAAATTTAATTAATAGTGAAGGTATAAAGTGTAGCCATCAGGTAAACCTCTCCTGTCATTCCTAGCTTCCTTGCTTCAGAATTGAAATGGAAGGGGTTTTTCCTACTCTGTAGAATTTGGAGCTGGTCAAATGTTTGTGTGGCCTCCTTAAACTAGTTGTTATGATTTTATTCTTTGTGAGGTAATTAGAATAAAGCGATTTTCTTCCAAAAAAAAAAAAAAAGCCCGGCCCATGTGGTGGCGCATGTCTGTAATCCCAGCTACTCGGGAGGCTGAGGCAGGAGAATGACTTGAACCCAGGAGGTGGGTGCAGTGACTCGATCTCATCTCACTGCACTCCAGCCTGGCGACAGAGTGAGACTCCGTTTCAAAAAAACCACAGAGAGGCTGGGCAGAGTGGCTCACTGCCTGTAATTCCAGCACTTTGGGAGGCCAAGGCGGGTGGATCACCGGAGGTCAGGATTTCAAGACCAGCCTGGCGAACGTGATGAAACTTGGTCTCGACTGAAAATACAGAAAACTTTAGCTGCGCATGGTGGTGGGAACCGGTATCTCAGCTGCTCGGGAGGCTGAGTCAGGAGAATGGCTTGAACCCGAGAGGCGGAGGTTGCAGTGAGCCAAGATTTCGCCATTGCACTCCAGACTTTTTTAAACTCCTTTTAAAAAAGTATGTCTTCTTTTTTTTTTTTTTTTTGAGACGGAGTTTCGCTCTTGTTGCCCAGGTTCACCACAGCCTCCGCCTCCTGGGTTCAAGCAGTTCTCCCGCCTCAGCCTCCCGAGTAGCTGGGACTACAGGCACGCACCACCATGCCCAGCTAATTTTTGTATTTTTAGTAGAGACGGGGTTTCACCATGTTGACCAGGATCGTCTCGATCTCTTGACCTCGTGGTCCACCCGCCTTGGCCTCCCAAAGTGCTGGGATAATAGGCATGAGCCACCGCGCCCGGCCGTTAGCATGATGTTTTAAAGGTTCATCCATGTTGTAGCAAGTATCAGTATTTTATTTATTTATTTATAGCCAAATAACATTCCACTGTATGGATAGATCACATTTTGTTTATGTTTTGGGCATTTGGGTTGTTTCTGCTTTTTTACTATTATGAATAATACTGCCGTATAAGCATTTGTTTCCAAGTTTTTCTGTGAATGTATATTTTCATTTTTCTTGGGCACATAGAAAAGTGAAAGGGAGAGGGAGTGCAGAGCCATCAAGCTAACTCTATTAGCCAATTTCTTTTAAAAGGCAGGAAATCTAGGCTCAGTGAGGAGAAGTAATGTGCTCAGGTTTTATAGGAAGGTAGACAGAAAGAAGCGAGACAAATCTTCTGACTCCAAGTCCAAGGCTCTTTCTGCCATTTCCTTTTTTTCTTTCTCTCTCTCTTTTTTTTTTTTTTTTTTGAGATGAGTCTCACCCTGTTGCCCAGGCTGTAGTGCAGTGGTGTGATCTTGGCTCACAGCAGCCTCCACCTCCCGGTTCAAGCATTTCTCCTGCCTCAGCGTCCCGAGTAGCTGGGATTACAGGCCCTGCCACCACGCCCGTCTCAATTTTTTTTGTACTTTTAGTAGAGACGGGGTTTTCACCGTGTCGGCCAGGCTGGTCTTGAACTCCTGACCTTGTGATCTGCCCACCTCAGCCTCCCAAAGTGCTGGGATTACAGGCTTGAGCCGCCGGGCTCGGCAGCCATTTTCTAATGGCTCCATGTGTCGGGACTTCTGGCCTCAAGTCATACAATAGTCTGTTAGTGTCATGCTGGCACCGAGGGACTCAGAAGCCAGGCAACAGGTGAAAAGGCAAGAAACCCACATTTGTTTTTAAAGTTTATATTTATTAATTTTGTTATGTTTATTTATTTTTATTGACAGGGTCTCTCTGTCAATATTTTATTTTACGTTTTTATAAAATACAAAAATGCTTTATGTTTATTTTTTGAGACAGGTTCTCTCACTTTGTCATCCAGGCCAGAGTGCAGTGGCGTGATCTCAGCTCACTGTAGCCTCAACTTCCCAAGCTCAAGCACTCCTCCTGCCTCAGCTCCCCAGGTAGCTGGGACTACAGGGGCACAGCAACGGGGCTGTTAATTTTTGTATTAACACTGCACCCAGCCAGAACCCACATTTATGGAGCGCCAGTTGACTCCAGGCATGTCATAGTCCTTTGGCATTCTCTAACTACAACCCTGCCAAACGGCATTATGGTGCCCACTTTGTAGATGTCAACTAGACACGTAGAGGGGACATCGCTTGCCCAGAGTTGTGCGGCAAGCGGATACATGGATCTGGACCCAGGTTTGCCTGATTTGAAAGCTTATGTGAATTCCACTAAACACTGCTCTCTTCTGTGACTATGTAATAGCTTTAGTGGGGGTGGGAGGAAAAAAAAGGGAACAAAAATATTTAGCAGCCTTAAGCTCTGGTACATTAATTCAATCTCTCAGTCATTCATTTAGCAAACATTCACTCAGGCATATACGTGCCTTCTCTGTAGGGACGCAGAGATGACTCACTTCCACCTCTAAAAAAAGGGAGACTGGGGGATGAGTTCTGTGTGCTATGAATGATCTCATTTAACGAAGACACTCTCCATAAGAAATAGGCCAGCCACAGTGGCTTGTGCCGGTAATCCCAGCCACTTTTGGGAGGCCGAGGTGGGAGGATCAACTGAGGTTAGGAGTTCGAGAACTGCCTGGCCAACATATAGTGAAATTCCATCTCTACTAAAAAATTACAAAAATTAGGTGGGCTGTAACAGCCTGGGAACAAATCCAGACGTTCCTTCTAAACCAACGCAGGCCAACCTGAGGCTCTAGCAGTCAGCGGAACCTTGGCAGAGCTCAAGAAGCCTTGCTTTGTTCCCACAGTAAAGGTTTTTGTGGTTACCTCGGCACCACGAGTGATAATGTAATGACGTGTTATGCCTGTAGTACCAGCTACTTGGGAAGCTGAGGCAGGAGATTCACTTGGACCTGGGAAGCAGGGGTTGCAGTGAGCTGAGATCACGCTACCACAGTCCAGCTGAAAGAAAGAAAGAGAGAAAAGGAAGGAAGGAAGGAGAAGAAAGAGAAGAAAAGGAAAGGAAAGAAGAGATTTCATACCCAAGAGATTAGCAAACATGTTACAGTTTGACTCTCAGATACCGATACTTCTGTTAAGCAACAGAGGTCCCCATTAACTGCTAGTGGGAGTGTCCATTGGTAATAATGATTACAGCTGACTCATAGCACCTGTGTGCCGCACATTGTCCAAAATACTTTACATGGAATGGTTTCTTTAGTCATCATAGCAACTATGTGAAGTGGGTTTTATTATCATCCTCATTTTTCAAATTAGGAAATGGGCAAAAAGGGCTGACTTGTGCATTAAACACAGTAGCAAATACAGTGCCTCGGCCCATGATACTCGTAGTAACCAAAAAAATTTAAAAATTTATTTTAAAATCGAAAGAAAAGAAAGAAGAATATAGCTTTGGAAAACCAAAGCAGAAGGATCGCTTAAGGCAAGGAGTTCAAGACCAGCCTGGGCAAAACAGCAAGACCCCCATCTCTATAAAAGAAGAAGAAAGAAGAAGGAAGAGGAGGAGGAGATAATTTAGCCTAAGTGGTGTTTATTTTATTTTATACCAATATATCATAAAATATAATTTTCACATATATTTATGAATGAAAAGATCACAATTAGGATGATGTTTAAATATCTCCTATCCTGCCCTTTCAAGAAAACAATTTAAAGACGTTTCCGGGCCAGGCGCGGTGGCTCATGCCTGTGATTCCAGCACTTTGGGAGGCCGAGGGGGGTGGATCACGAGGTCAAGAGATCGAGACCATCCTGGTCAACATGGTGAAACCCCGTCTCGACTAAAGATACAAAAAATTAGCTGGGCATGGTGGAGCGTGCCTGTAATCCCAGCTACTCAGGAGGCTGAGGCAGAAGAATTGCCTGAACCCAGGAGGCGGAGGTTGCGGTGAGCCGAGATCGCGCCATTGCACTCCAGCCTGGGTAACAAGAGTGAAACTCCGTCTCAAAAAAAAAAAAAAAAAAGACGTTTCCAAACTCTCCCATATCTCTTCTCAGTGGGTTGTCACAATGCTTCTACAACTGTATACAAAAGAAACAAAAGAAAGAGAAATGGTCCAGAGAAGTGGGGTGACTTATCTAAGGTGACCCAGCCGGGAATGACCAAACTGGGCAGCTCAGAAGAGCCCTGTCCTTGGTGCTGCCGAAAACCCTGCGTCTTTGAGCTCCTTCCTCCCTAACATAACGTCAGCTTGCCGGTTTTTGCGCCCTCCCAGGACTACCCGTGTTGCTGTTTACTGAGTATTTTTCTCTACACTGCCCTTTTTTTTTTTGGACAGAGTCTCTGTCGCTCAGGCTGGATGCAGTGGCGAGATCATGCTCACTACAGCCTCGACCTCCTGTCCTCACGCGATCCTCCCATCTCAGCCTCCCGAGTAGCAGGCAGCAGCCACCGCACCCGGCCTAGAGGGACATTTTAAAAATCCTCACATTCATAAACTTGGCGTCATTACGTTATCATGAGCAGTGCAGAGGTAACCACAAAAACGTTTACTGTGGAAACAGCAAAGCTTCTTCGGTTCTGCTGAGGTTCCCCTGACTGCTGGAGCCTCGAGTCGGCCTACGTTGGTTAAGGAACGTTTGGATTTGTTTCCAGGGTGTTACAGGCATCCCAGCGCCATACAGAGCGTCCCCTAGGAGGGACCAACAGGTAACTAGATAGGGAACAACTCACTTTCTCCCGGGCACAGCCGCCACGCCACGCCACACCTCGCCACGCCACGCCACGCCACGCCCCCTGCTGTGCCACGCCCCCTCACCGCCCCACAGTGCGCCTGCGCAGTAGCTCTTACGCCAGTTAGAGCCCCACCCTCTTCCAGAGCGAACACTGGCCTCGGGGGCGGGGCTTGGGCACAAGATGGCCGCTGCGCGCCCGGAGCCCCAGAGTCCGAGCTCACCGACCCCGGAGTCGCGATCCCAGGAGCCACCGGACCTGGTGCGGGCGAGGAAGGGGCCTGGGCCTGGGGCTCGAGGTGGGAGGGGGTCGTAGTGTAGGGGGCGGGGCCGGGGCGGGGCCTATGAGGGATGGGCGGGGGAGGTATTTAGTGCTATGGCGCTGGGGGTGGGGCTTCTTGGGGTTACGCGAGGGGTGGGACAGGGGAGGAGCCTATGAGACAGTGGGCGGGGAGTGGGGAGGGGCCTATAAGACTGGG